TTTCTTAAAATGACTTGGGTTCATGTTCTTCAAAGATGGAGGCAAGAAAGGCTCAGTGATCTGAGGATAATTTATCATATGACAGAACTTTAGAGATTGGATGCTTGACAGTGTATGTTACATACTTTTGTAATATGGGAGGAGACTGACATGTCTTATAAGACATTTTTCTAGGAACTTCATCACATTGAATAACAGGGTCTTCTATAATGGGTTGAAAAACATCAAGTGTTGGACATTCACCCATAAGATCCTCAGTCGTGGTGGAAGAAAATTGATCAACAATGGGCTAAACTTTAATATTTGAAATTCTAGGAACTTGTTGCGGTAGAGAACATACATTCTAATCATAATAACTGGAACTAGGTAGTGAAAACAAGTTAAAAGCATCATCTTCTTGATTTGTGGCAGGGTAATAAGGAGTATCTTCAGAAAATTTAACATCTCTTGAAACATACATTTTCTTTTGTGAGAGATCATAACATTTGTATCCCTTTTATGTTTGAGAATACCCCAAGAAAATGCATTTGATAGCTTTAAAATTAAGCTTATCTCATTGTAATGAAGGTAAATGCATAAAACATGTGCATCCAAATACTTTTAAATGTGCTAATTTAAGATTTGGAACCTGCAAAACTTCAAGAGGAGATTTAAAATCCAGCACATTGCTAGGTAAGTGATTTATGAGATAAACAGCTACAAGAACACAGTCTAACCAAAACCCCTTTGGAATATACATTTGTAACATTATAGGACGAGTTTTTTCAAGTAGATCATGATTTTTCCATTCGAAGACTCCATTTTGTTATGGTATACCAACATAACTAGTTTGATGTAATATGTCATTAGAGTTTAAATAATGTGTCATGCCTTTGGACATGTATTTTGAGCCATTATCTGATCGGAATATTTTAAGATGGCCAAAGAATTAATTTGTAATTAACATATGAAAATCCTGAAAGCAGGAAAAAAACCACCCTTAGCCTTTAACAAATACACCCATGTGACTCTAGAAAAATCAATCATCAATAAAGGTTATAAAATATTTATAACCATCAAGAAATGTATCGAAAGGTCCCCATACATCTGAGTGTAGAAGTTCAAATGTATGTGTTACATGTATAGTAGAATTATTAAACAAAAATCTAAATGATTTTGAAAAATAACAGATCTCACATTCAAGGGGTTTAAAGATGGAAACTAAATTTATTTTGCAATCTAACAAACATCCTAAACAACGATGCCATAAGAGTGGCTTGTATGATGTTTTGAAACTAGTCTGAAGGTTTTTAGGAACGTGATTATGCTGAAAAAATAATAGAGACCACGTAAGAAAAAACCTTCACCAATCGTTTTTTGGTTAATCGGTCTTGAAATATAACCTTGTGATGAATAAAAATTACATCACAATTACAAGTAGAAGTTATATTATTGACCAAAAGTAATTAAAAAGGAAAAAAAAGAAACAAATAGAACATCAGACATGTTTTCAGATACAATCTTAATTTTTCTCTTATCCTTCACAGGAGACCCTTTTCCATTTGCTACCGAAATAAAGGCAGGAAAAACAAATCTTTCAAGGTTAGAGAAATTTATCAATTTGTTTGATATATAATCAAATGCTCCAGAATCAACAGTCCAAAGATTATGCATATTATCAAGTTTTAATGCAATTAGAATACCTTGGCTGGTGTTTATGTCTATCTCAACTAGAAAATCTATGAGGTGACTGATCAATGCAGTTGAGTTTTGTTGATGTTGTTCTAATCTAGCAGTTCTAGTGATTCCAGACTGCATCTTTCCACGATTATGCTTATCCTACAGATAATTGACAAAATCTTATATCAAGGCAATAGGGTTGGTAGCTTTATAGTTCATTCTCTTCTAAAGTCCTCTTTGCTCATTAGAAAATCTGGGTTTAAGTTTTGGATGTAGCTGCTAACACTAGTTAGTGAGGTATCTAGTATTATGACAATAGTTGTACTTGAACTCTGAATGTTTTTTCTTTAATGATTTGTCATCACTCATTTGTTTTGATATTAAAAAACATGCCTATGCATACAAGAACTGGAGTTTTCACTACATGGCATTTTCTTGACATGATAACCATCGGTGGCTATTGTTCTAAACTGAGTTTTATGATTCATTAGCTTCCTGTGAATTTCTTCACGTTAAACCATTGTTGTCACAGACTGCAAAGATGATAGTTCTGGGTTCATTAGGATGTGGCTCCTCAAATCTTCAAAGTTAGAACTAAGGCTTGTCAAAAGTTGGAAAATTCTGTCTTCCTCTATTCTTCTACATAGGACAACAGCATCACATGTGTAAGGGCGATAAATCTATAATTCGTTCCATAGGCTTTTCAGACTTCCTAATTGTTGAACAAATGGTCTATTGTCTTGATGAAGATTTACAATTTTATGGAGAATTTGAAAAATCCATGCTGCATTGTTTTGGTTGCCATACATATCTCGAATGGCATTCCAAAGATCATGTGTGGATTTGGAGTAGTTGAAAATTTCAGTCAAGTTTTGTTCCATAGAATTAAGAATCCAAGCCATCACTAGTTGATATTTGGATAACCATATTTTGTATTAGGGAGAGTCCACATTTGGAGATGATATTGAATCATTGATTAATCCTAATTTTGATCTTCCAACTAGAAAAATAGTGATAGCTCTTGACCAAGAAAAATAATTGAATTCATTTAGTAATACTCAACTCAATTGTTGAGCAACATTGGTTTCATCGGTATTATTATTGAAAAGAGGAGTTACCCTTGAGCTAGAACTTTCTTCCATAGTGGCTGTAGAAAATTCTTCCATAGGAATAGAAACTAATACTCAATTAATGATAGAAACCTAGCTTTGATACCATGTAGAAATTTAGAGAAGTATAATATTTTAATCATCAATTTACTGATGGTAAAGTAAAGGTATATATAGACTAAAATCAATTTCTAACATGGCAGTTACTAGATTTCATTCTGTCCTTGGTTATGAAGAAAATAAATAATAATTACATGTTCATCTAAACTAGGTAATAGACATAACATGAATAAGACAATATAATAACTACAAGATCTTATAGATAGTTTCTTAATGCTGCAACATCTGCTCTATTAATCTTCAGTATCTGTAGCATCTGCACCATTAATTTTCAGTATCTACAATATCTACAAGGATCTACAACTTATACTGTAATCTTCAAGATGACCATCAAACACCTTTCTAAAGATTATCCATGGATTAGAGTTTTTGATATTTATATTTTACTTATTATTTATGGGATAAAAAAATTAAATATTTATAAACTATCAATTGGTTTTTAGATATCTATTATGTATTATTATATAATAAAAAATAAAATAATTAATGTCTCTTTCTATATATGTGTGTTTTATGTCAATATTGAGATATATTAAAAATATAAATTTTCTATAAATATATCTATACAATATAAATATAATTTCAAGTTAGATTCAGATGGGTTTAACAATATCCATACCTTACCCAATATCCATAAAATAAGGTAATTATCCAAAAAATATTCACTCATTAAGATCGGGTTGGGTCAGTATCTATCAGATTCAAATTAAATTGTCATCTCTACTTCCCAGATGATCCGGGGACTAGGTTAGGCTAGGTTTTAATAAAAATAAGAGGATAATTCATGTGATGCGACATGGTTAAAAATCCACGTTGACTAGTGACCTAGTCAGCCCGAGAAAAACCAATTCAAAACCTGTTGACCTTTTTTTTTTAAAAAAAAATATTTTCAAAATTTTTTTATGTAATAAATAAAACAAGTTATGTTGACCTGGGTCAACCTTTCTTTTGACCTGAGTCAACCCTCTTGAACCATAATCTAGAGACTTACCCTTAGTCAACCCCGAAATCAGGTTTAAAACTATAGTAAAAACTTGTTTTTAACCTACCATGCATTTTGGTTTTCAAATACAAATAAACTAGTTTGATTCATTTTATTATGTTGCACGGTGAAACATTTTTTTCACAACATAAAAAAAGATATAGATGTTGTTAATGTTTTTAATTTAAAAAAATTAATTGCAAATTAAAAAAATTATATGTGCATTCAATAAAATAAATAAAAAATTATATGTGCTATTAAATAATAAAAAATATGTTGATTCAAATCAAAATCTGAGTCACAAAGTTAAGATAAATATGTTATTTCTCAGATAATAAGATGAATATTTATTTCAGTTTGAATTAGATATTTACAATTTTAATTAATTTTAATTAATTAAATTAAATTTTACTTTATCAAATCAAGCATTAAACATATTCTTAACATTGTAAAAGTCTCATATAAAGTCAACTAAAATAAAACATCAAACTTAATCCCAAGTCAACTTAATATAAAAAAATTAAATTGAAAATAAAAAAGTCAAATGACAAAAAAGAAAAAAGAAGAAAAGAAAACTTTGTGAGCACCCCATAATTGATTTTGTCTTTTTTCTATGATGTATTTTCATTATTTTTATTAATATTTATTAAATCTTGCATTACCTCACATGTTTATATTGTAAATGTCATTTTTATGATTTACTGATTATTAATTTTGCCAAAAAAAACTATAATTATTAAATAAAAAGTAAAAGGATCCAATAAAAAAAGAAAGATGTAAATAAAAAGAATTGAAGAACCCAATAAAAAAAATCATGCAAATGAAAATAAAAGATTTAAGGTGATAAATCTTTTTTGAAGAATCAAATAAAAAAGAAGGGATGCAAATGCAAATGCAAAAAAAAATAAAAATAGAGGTGGTTCACCAAGTTTTTTAATTGTATTAATTAAAAAAAATTACATTTACAAAAAGAGAAGAAAAAAAAGAAGACGCAATAACAAGTGATTCAAGACAAGAAAATTAAATAATTTAAAAAACGTGTGGACGGTGAAATATTCTTTATGGCTCACATCATTTTCATATGGCTTTCGAACACATGCACGCTTGTGTTGTATAAATAAGGCAACACAGACACTGAGATTTCATACAAAAGTAAAAGGAAACACAACGCCATAGCTATCCAACTCATCTCTTGCTCTCATCATCATAACGCCTCTTTCTTGGTCCTGAACACCCATTTCGCTTATCTCTGCAAAAGCACGCAGTCTCTGAAAAGAAACAGAGAGATATACACAAGATGGCACTTACTAAAGAAATCATGGGTGGTCGTTTAATTGGTGGACCATCATTTGTAACAACATCAAGAATGTTCATGAACCAAAGGCTAGGAATGGTTAAAAAGAACCAGTTCTTGGTGAGTCCGGTTCTGGTGCCTCTGCAACAGATTAGAAGACAGGAGCAAGTAAGGAGAGTTGTGAAGGGTCCTCCTGTGGCAGTCATCAGTGAAGATATAATCAAGGCTAATAACAACACCATCTTGCCTGGAAAAGCAGTGAAATTCAAGGTGAGAGCTTTGGTGGCTGTGAGAAACAAACACAAGGAGGACTTGAAGGAGACTATCGTGAAGCAGTTGGATGCTTTAACTGACAGTATAATTGGGAGAAATGTAGTTTTGGAGCTTATTAGCACCGAAGTTGATCCAAGTAAGTAAAGTAGTATTTCTCCACTCTAAATAAAAGGGTGATCATCACTAGCACTTGTTTTGGATTCTCTAATGGCGACAAATTATACTTATTTTCAGTTTTCTTTGTTTGATATGAAGAATCAAACTCTCATGATCATATGGGTTGATTTGCATGTTTGACATAATTATGCTCCCTTCTTTCATTAGATCATAGAAACCTAGAATTCAATAATGATCTTAAATGGCTCTATAGAAAGCAAGGAACCAAAGAGAAGCAAGGAAGCTGCGTTAAGAGACTGGTCGAAGAAATCAAATATTAAAGCTGAGAGGGTCCATTACACTGCTGAATTTACAGTAGACTCCGATTTTGGTGTGCCTGGGGCAATCACAGTGAGCAACAAGCATCAACAGGAGTTTTTCTTGGAGACTATCACCATTGACGGTTTTGCTTGTGGTCCCATTCATTTCCCTTGCAACTCATGGGTACAACCCAAAAAAGATCATCCTGCGGAGAGAATATTTTTCTCTAATAAGGTAATTATGTTTCTATCTACTAGTTTCTGAATTATCACTTTTCTTGAAATGCAGGATACGGTCGGATTTTTTTTTTGGGGATGTTATTGTCCAGTAATATACAATTTATAAAGGTCAAACCATGTGTTCCATGTGGTCAGGTCTTGACTTCTTTAAAAATGATAGTCAAGTGCAACAATTCAGAGCCTACTGACATTGAATTTTCAGCCACTTAATATTTCTTTTTTACTGCTTGCTTTGTATGTATGTATGTATGTATGTATGTATGTATGTATGTTTGCTTGCATGATATTAGGTTTTTTCTATTCATTTTCTTGTCTTGTAAGAGAGCAAGAGATGGCTTGATATTCATTTTGTTTTACAATGATTATAGCTTTTGTTTGTGATTATGGTAATAAAGGTATTGAAAATGTTTTTCAATAAAAAATATATTAAAATTATTTTTTATATTAATATATCTATCTGAAAATATAATTTTTTCATTATAAAAAAATTTAAGATTTAAATAAACAAAATTTACACCTTATTTCCGATGACACCACAATTCTTCAAAATAGGAAATCGAGTTTCACTGAGTTAAAAATTGAATTTCCTCACATCTCGCTCTCAAAAAATGTAGTGGAATGCCCACTGTGAAGACATTGGAAAAGGATACTGGCAACAGTAAGACTTTATTTAGATTCCCCTATAATTAGACGGGGGTCACCCTCCGTAAGGGACCATGGACCTATAAGCCTGACGCAACTAGATTATGGATGGGTGAGGTGTCTCTGTGCTTCTTTCCTTTTTACCAGTAGAAAACGAGAACACAGAGGAGCGAGGAAGTCTTTTACAAGTACAGATAGATACAAACTATTTGGAACGCACACTTCCCTTTGATCGATGAGCTTGCTGCCAACATGATGATGATCAGCTGGTTCAGTCTGTTTGTATCATGGCATGGGTTCTATGGTATTGATGGAGATGAGCCTTTTGTAACTGTCTAAGGGAGCAACTGTCATCCAGTCACAACCTTGATACTGCAGTCCATGGACTCCTACGTTGAGAATAAAGAAAATTCCTGTTTGTAAATTTTATTAGCATGGTCTCTTGTGCTTAAATTCAGTTTTTTACATATATATATGACTTCTAATCTGAGCAGCCATATTTACCAAGCGAGACACCAGCTGGGCTTAAAGCATTGAGAGATAAGGAGCTAAGCAATCTCAGGGGCGATGGCAAAGGAGTAAGAAAAATGTCAGACAGGATTTACGACTTCGATGTGTACAATGATTTGGGAAATCCAGACAAGGGTAATCACTTGGTTAGACCAAGACTTGGTGGTAAAGCAATTCCATACCCAAGACGATGCCGTACTGGTCGCCTTCCAATGGATTCTGGTTAGTCAGGTTTTGCTTCCTTGATTTGATGATTCAAACATATGATCCATTTCTTTTAGTTGCACACCACTTGCTAATTTCCGTAGGACTTAATTAACTGTGCCACTGCTTGAAAAGTTCTAAATACTTGCTAGGACTTACCATGGAGATGCTTCCTTTTATACATTCGCAATACACACTCACATGAATCCTGCTTGATTCCTCGCGTACTTACCAGATATTAACGCGGAGAGCCGGGTGGAGAAGCCAACGCCACTGTACGTGCCTAGGGATGAACAATTTGAGGAGTCTAAGCAAATTACATTCTCAAATGGGAGGCTTAGAGCTGTGCTTCATACTCTAATACCAGCAATTAAGGCCAGCATTTCTGCAGATAATCAAGACTTTAGTAGCTTCTCAGACATTGATGTTCTGTACAAAGAAGGGCTTCTTCTTAAAGTTGGATTGCAAGATGAAATCTGGAAGAATCTACCATTGCTCAAAGCGGTCAACAAGATACAAGAGTCTGGCGAGGGACATCTCAAATATGACACGCCAAAGATTCTTTCCAGTGAGTACATTCCCTGTTAGATTTCCTATATTTTCTTTTTTTGTATCAATCATTTTTTTTTCCTTTTTGTTATACATTTTATATTCGTTAAAGATCGCAAGAACCATGGAACTTTTGGATCGTAAAGCAGGGGACAAACGTTGCGTATGCTACAATACGCAAACAAGAAATAGACGGATTTTTGGTTGTATGATTCACTAGTTAAACTCGCATGGCAAGGGCACTAACTTGACCGTCCGAAGGACACTTTCCTATAGGGTTCAGTTTTTGAATCAGTGATTTTCTAGGTTTATTGTCGATGTCCCGTTTTTTTTCGGACCACAGAGATAAAACTGATTCATACATGCCCGTGAAATTGAACCATCATGAAAATAACGTCGTGAATCCAGAAAACCACTAGAAGAAGAAAAAATGTGTTAGGCACTAGGCATTAGCCATCGTGCATTTAGTGGGATCCAAGTCATGCACACTGAAGTTTTTCAAGAATAAAAGTAGATTGCCTGGCTTACATTGCTCTTGCAAGGAAGAATGATGTTGTCTAGCATTTGATTACCAGAGAGAAAAAGGCCCACTATGCTTTTTCTTTGCTGGTTGCCCAGTTGGGAGCCAATCCTGATCAAATTAAAAACGTGCTTGTGAGTTTCCAATACCTTTTGGTGGCACGCAGTTGTTTATGTGCAAAGTGGATTAATTTCTTGTAAACAAGTAGACAGTCCAAAACATGATGAATTAATTAATCAAGATTAATCTACAAGCAAGCATGTGATTCGCAATATTGCAGGGGACAAGTTAGCCTGGTTGAGAGATGACGAATTTGCCCGTGAAACTGTGTCAGGAATAAACCCAGTCAGCATTGAGAGACTTAGGGTTTTTCCACCAAGAAGCAGTCTTGATCCTGAAATTTACGGTCCACTAGAATCTGCTCTCGAAGAAGAACACATTCTGGGCCATCTTAATGGCTTGTCCGTTTCGCAGGTAATATTCCCAAATCTCCTGCTTTCCTTTTGTAGTCACTAGCAGTGTCATATTAAAAAAGAAAAAAAGAGAGACTTGCATTATCACGCATGTTCTTCTCGTTTCATTCTTCTTCCTGAGATTACCGATATTTCGTGGGCCACCTTATTATCGGATCTTATGTTTAATTCGCTTGTTTTTCCTAACCATGCCTGGCCTGAATATTGCTATTTGAACCTTGCAGGCCCTGGAGGAAAATAAATTGTTTATGATTGATTACCATGATATTTATCTTCCATTTTTGGACCGGATTAATGCGCTTGATGGTAGAAAAGCATATGCAACTCGTACCATATTTTTCTTGACGCCTCTTGGGACACTCAAGCCCATTGCTATAGAGCTTAGCCTCCCACCAGCGGGGCCGAATTCCCGATCAAAGCGTGTGGTTACACCTCCGGTGGATGCAACTGGCAGTTGGATTTGGCAACTGGCCAAGGCTCATGTTTGCTCCAACGATGCCAGTGTTCACCAGCTTGTCCATCACTGGTAAGAACAAAAAATGAATAACTCAAGTCATCAGAAGGTGATCATTTAAGTTTTTTGGACGAAGATATAAAGTTCTCCATGGTGGCATTGATTGAAACATCATAATGATTATAGGTTACGCACACATGCTTCCCTGGAGCCATTTATACTGGCAGCACACAGGCAATTGAGTGCAATGCACCCTATATTCAAACTCCTGGATCCACACATGAGATATACACTAGAGATCAATGCCTTAGCCCGCCAAAACTTGATCAACGGTGATGGTGTTATAGAGTCTTGCTTCACCCCTGGCCAATATTCTATGGAGATTAGTGCTGCTGCCTACAAAAACTTTTGGCGTTTTGACAAGGAAAGCCTCCATGCCGATCTCATTCGCAGGTGCGTTTACCGCGCACAATTATTCATGGGCATCTATATATCGCTTCTAAATCTCTTTCCCGGGGACATGAAAAGATAGGATCCAGTTGGTTTAGAGATTTAACATTATGATGAAATTATTGCATAAACCTGGCCCTTATGAACCAAACTAATCACACGCAGACTTGGCGCAAAACACTAAATAATTCCAGGTTCATTGCACCAACCATCAATCGGTCATATATAGAACCTGATCCGCTTACTGTTTTTCGGGATCGAAATTGCAAAGGGTCTCTTGCTCTTTCTTCTGATGAAATTCATGTTTGGTTTATTTGGTATATGGAAATCCTGTATCTAGTATTCATTGATCATTGTTGCCGTTGCAGGGGAATGGCGGTGCCTGACCCGACACAACCACATGGTCTAAAGCTTCTACTTGAGGACTACCCATATGCCCAAGATGGGCTACTGATCTGGTCTGCCATAGAGAACTGGGTCCGCACCTATGTCGAGCATTACTACCCAGATTCAAGCATAGTCTGTAATGACAAAGAGCTCCAAGCCTGGTACTCTGAGGCCGTCAATGTCGGCCATTTCGATCTTCGTGATGCTGATTGGTGGCCCAAGCTGGCTACGAGTGATGATCTTATCTGGATCCTCACCGTCCTCATTTGGCTTGCATCCGCACAACATGCCGCACTGAATTTTGGGCAGTATCCCTACGGTGGTTATGTGCCTAATAGACCAACCCTAATGAGAAGATTAATCCCGGAAGAAAATGACCCTGAGTACGCAAATTTCCTAGCTGATCCACAAAAGTATTTCCTATTAGCATTGCCAAATGTGCTGCAAGGCACAAAATTAATGGCTGTGATAGACACATTATCAACGCATTCACCAGACGAGGAGTACATAGGGGAACGACAACAGCCATCAATATGGACAGGCGACGCTGAAATGATTGAAGCGTTTTATGATTTTTCAGCCAAGATTCAGCAGATAGAGCAGGAGATCAACAGAAGGAATGCTGATCCTAGCCTTAAGCATCGGTGCGGCGCAGGGGTGCTCCCATATGAATTGCTTGCCCCTAGTTCAGGACCTGGGGTAACATGTAGAGGTGTCCCAAATAGTGTTACAATATAAGCTAAATCAAAACTTGGAACCAAGTGGTGGCAAGTGATTAATGGCCCCAGCAGACTATTAATTAGGTATTTGTGGGCCACTTGCATTTGGAAATCAGTGCTGAGAAGAGGCCATTCCTTCTCTTTTTTTTAATATATTATTATTATTATTATTATTATGATAGATGTTTAAACTATTTTGTACTTATCATTTCTATATTTTTATTATATGGATAAATGATTTTTATACATATTAACAAATTAATAAAATATAATAATTTAAAAACATTTAAAAATAATATAATTTGGCGAGTCACAAGTTTCTTTGCAACTTTCTAGCTATAAATATCATATATAACTTGCAAGACACGTGATTCCTTTAAAAAAAAATAATAAAAGCAATTTTTTTTTCTAGATTTTCAACTCCTTGCCACAAAAAAGGAAAAAGAAAAAATTAATACAAGTATAAACATCACAATTCAAAAACGCAAGCCTCAATTCATCTCCACAACATAATTAAAAAAAATCAACACATATCACAACTCATCGAATATAATAATTCACAATTAATAATTAAATACAATAAGAATTAATATAAAATTTTATTAAATTTAAACTAAACTAATAATTCTTAAAACATTAAAACATACAATTTTAATTATATCTAAAAATCACTCTACCTCATAGATAAGCTACAGTTTCAACTTGTTTAACTCGAGGATGGGTCTGTAATGTTCTTATAGGGTCAACATCAAAATTGTCCAAGCTTGTGGACAAGATTGAATCACTCGTCCCTGATTGAATGTTCTTTTTTACAATAATGATCTCATCTTTTACTAAAATCATTCCATTTCAAGATGTTAATCTCCCTAACTTTTTTAAGTCAAGCACAACACAAAATTAGTCATTACAAACAAAGTAAATTATTCAATAGAAAATATGTAAAATAGATATACTTAAAAAAATTGTGCACACCTGGCTACTTGTCACCTCTTCTTTAAATATATTTTACATAACTATTGATATAAACGTGGAAGCATGACCCTGGTTATAGTTAAAAATATCTCAAAAACCCTGAAAGAGTG